CATTAGGTTCATAAGTTGTCTTCCATGTACGTTTTAGGCATTTTGAATATCAATTCATATAAGGAAATGGGGTGTCTTATTTTGAGAATGAGCCATTTCCTGGTAACAGTAAACACCAGTGTAGTATCCGGTTGTATGTCAAGAAGGGAGGTATTGCACAGGAAAACGTGAAAACCAGAAAACAGGGCAGAGGAAAGACTCACATGTCTCTGTGAGTCCATTCGATGAGGCTGAGCGGTCATCAACAAAGCAGCCTCTTCTTCTCTACATGGACCATCAATCAAACACTGCGCTCTGATGACTGAGAGCTTGCTCTGAAAAACACAGCTCTTACCACACATGCACTGCACCCTGACCGACTTTAACATTTCTCACATTTTTATCTTTGAACTGTACGTGGCCTCTGCTCCCAGAGGAGTCAATGCAAATACACAAAATAACTGACCCTGCACATCACCGATGACCCTTCTCTTCTGCAGTCGTGGGACACACTCCTCCACTGCTTGCAAAGAGAAACATACCGGAAGGTTTCAGGTAAATCCGAACAGAATTTAGGATAAGTCTCAAAAGATCATTACAGTAAATAAGGGATTACATCTCTGGTAGAGTTCATTTTTACACTAGTTATTAATTATTTATTTTGATTGATTGGTTGTAGTCGTTTTTAGTCTATTATTGAAACGTTTATACATTGATGTTTCCTATGTGTCTTCTGGTTTCACCCCCAATCCCAAGACAATGCAGTATGTTTTTAAAAACATTTAGCAGAAAATAAAAAAATAACATGTTAAAACTGTCCTTGTTATGAAAACCTGAACTCCTGAAATAACATTGTTAGTACACAGTTATTTACATGTAATGAGGACGAAATGATCCTCATACTCCTCCCATCTCAACCTCCACTAATATTGCAACTCTCAGATAAAAGTCATCTGTATCCAATTTTTCCATTATGTGTACATAGAAATATTAAGTCATTTTCATCTCTCTCCAGATATTTCATGTGTGGGGCTTGAAGCATTTGGTTCTCATTTGAGGCTGAGGCTGCAATTTGGGGCACAGTTTTGTCTCCATGCTGATACGATTGTTGATGTTGGTGTGTGGCCCACGGGTGCCATTGCATTATTTCACTAGTGTGGTTGCAAAGTCTGGGGTTGACGGTGTTTTGAATGATAACATGATTTATACACAGCTTTCACAGATAAGAGCAATTATACAAATACACACACATGCTGGATGGTGATGCAGAATAAAGAAAGTCTTGTTTTGTTCTTCTGTGACTTTTTTTTTTCCTTAATTTTTTTTTGCACTTATATGACCCTGTTGTTTAGTTTTTCTGGTAACACTGGTACAAAAAAAAAAAAGTCTGTTGCTGGAATAGTTAACCCGAAAATTAAAATCCTGTCCTTGTTTTCGCACCCTCATGTCATTTCAAACTGGCTTGACTTTCGTCTGTGGAACACAGAAGACGACATTTTTTATAATATTTCAACTGCACATTATGAAAGTCACCTAAATTCACAAGTCACTTAAATCACTTCAATTTAAATCTGTTCATCATACCGTACAAAGTGATTGTGGATTAATTTCACAGAGTGATTGCACATTTATTTATATTAGGTTTTGGATCCCATTGACTTTCATTATATGGACAACAACAGTTAAAACGGTCTCAAAATATCTTATTTTATGTTCTGTAAAACAAAGAAACCATGATGGTGAGTAAATGATGCTTGAATTACAATAAACCTCACATCAATGTTAATTTATACAACTTGAAATGCTAAAAATATATTATTTTATGTAGAAAATATTAACCCAGATTAACAAATGCTCTAAAAGTATTATTCATTATCAGTTCCTGATACCTAAAGTATTAACTGATGTTAACAAATTTAATTTGATTGTAAAAAGCAGTTTTTGAAGAGGCACAATACAAAGGCACGTTTCTGTATATTGGCAAACACAAATGTGTGGGTGCGTATCTGAATAAATTCATATGATATATGTATGCATATGTAAACATACATTCATAGACTTATGCATTACGTAAGAATACACACATGCACTATTATGTGTGGATGTGTGTATCTGAGTGTTGATTTTTGTTGGCACACAATCATGACAGAGCAGTTTCATTATATGTGGTATAATTTTATGGCTATTGATTTCAACGCTGGAGACTCTCCAGTGTTTCCAGCCATAAATACTGAGCTCGCCCTCCCGCTTTAGCTAAATATACAGCCACCCCAGCGCTGTCATCAAAATAGAGTTGGTGACTCAGCAAAATTAAATGCTTTTTATTGATACTGGCAGCCATATTTAATGCTGTATATTTAATCCCTCATGTGGCAAATTGGCCAGCTGTTGGGGTGGGACTAAACTGAGACCCGACCCCACAAATGTGGAGATTTCAGCCTGTGGAAAACGTTTGCCAAGGAAACAGAATCTCAGGTGCAGGTGTCAGACTGTATTATATTATATAAATTATATTCATTTCTTTATTAGACCATCAATGCAACAAAGAACCCAAAATGATATTCAGAATCTCAGAAAATACTTGTGCCTACTTAAAGGTCATCAAACCTTACCTTGTTTACCCTGCAAAAAAATCAGTTAAATTAATTTCATGTAAGTAAAATGTTATGTACCTACTGTTTGTATGTCTGTCAAGACATAAAGATTAATAATAAAAAAACAATGTTGCATTACACCAAATAATGTTCTTTTTAGCAACATCATATGACCCCTTTAAAGCAGTTTGGATTTTAGAGTTTAGACGAGGGCCAATAACATAGTTAGGTGTTTAATATAAAGTATTTATTATTTTAGGCTCTTGCTTCAGGGACTAAAACATCCCGGACGAGCCCCCAGTTTTGTCTTTATACAGTATATTATTAATATACCACTTTATATATTCCACATGACTATTTTAAGTGGTTCATCGGGGAATATGAACAATGGGCCTCATCGTCAGAGTCAACCCTTCTCTCCACATCACCTAAACCCAAAATAAACTCTGATGACCTACACTGAGTCATTGTTGATTAAGACTCAAAGCCTGCGCCATGTCAAGTGAATCCCCCCTAGTATATTTTTTTCTGTAACTTATTATGATTTGGTCATCATGATCTCAAACTGGAAAAAATAAAGTTGATAAACAGTTTGACAAATGACATTACAAGTAATATTATTCTGAAAAACTATTTTCATGGAAACGTCCCATAAATGACACAGTCAGTCGATCAAGCAGACTGACAGTCTGGGCTCTTCATGAGAAGGTGATGTCATACTCTATGTCCATTGCCCCACACTGGACAGTGTTGGCCAGTTTGAAAATGATGACTTCACAATCCTCTAAGGACTGTTCCTTTTTTAAATAAGAAATGTTATTACTACTTTATATTATTATTACTTTATTTTAATTTTTTTTAATTGACTCTGATGCTGTCCAGTCAAATTTTGGCAAATTCTGTCTATGTTAAAAGTCAGTAAATTGTATATGTCGGTTTAGGCATATATATATGCACATTATGCTCATAGGTGTGGGTGCCAGATCTCCACATGGTCTACATCAAGTAATGAACTCATTGTCGAACAGTACGGTGATTAAACAGTCCTAACACAGGATAACAATACTTTATAGAGGCAATCTACATAGCAAACAGGCAAACAATGTTTCATGGAAACAGAACAAAAAATAGAACAAAAAAAAAGTGCATTGTGTAAGAAATGTCCTGGTTGACCCTCTCCATTAATGGACACAATGTGGGGCTCGGTTTATACTTTTAAATGAGCACAAAAACACACTCCCGAAAGATTACAAGAATTTATTTGGTATATACAGAGCATACATATAGCAAGCATATTTACAGCACATTGTATTTATAAACACTAAACAGTTTCACATACCATTGGAGGAACAAAACACAAAAATTGTCACAAATAGTGTATAGTTTCAGAGCAAGACGGTCTGAATAATCTTAAATCTAATTCTAAAAGGTTTTTACATTTACATCTTTCAGATTTTCCTCGTTTGTCGGAAAGTCTGCATTACACCAAATAATGTTCTTTTTAGCAACACCATATGACCCCTTTAAAGCAGTTTGGATTTTAGAGTTTAGACGAGGGCCAATAACATAGTTAGGTGTTTAATATAAAGTATTTATTATTTTAGGCTCTTGCTTCAGGGACTAAAACATCCCGGACGAGCCCCCAGTTTTATGTCTTTATACAGTATATTATTAATATACCACTTTATATATTCCACTTGACTATTTTAAGTGGTTCATCGGGGAATATGAACAATGGGCCTCATCGTCAGAGTCAACCCTTCTCTCCACATCACCTAAACCCAAAATAAACTCTTGATGACCTACACTGAGTCATTATTGATTAAGACTCAAAGCCTGCGCCATGTCAAGTGAATCCCCCCTAGTATATTTTTTTCTGTAACCTATTGTGATTTGGTCATCATGATCTCAAACTGGAAAAAATAAAGTTGATAAACAGTTTGACAAATGACATTACAAGTAATATTATTCTGAAAAACTATTTTCATGGAAACGTCCCATAAATGACACAGTCAGTCGATCAAGCAGACTGACAGTCTGGGCTCTTCATGAGAAGGTGATGTCATACTCTATGTCAATTGCCCCACACTGGACAGTGTTGGCCAGTTTGAAAATTATGACTTCACAATCCTCTAAGGACTGTTCCTTTTTTAAATAAGAAATGTTATTACTACTTTATATTATTATTACATTATTTTAATTTTTTTTAATTGACTCTGATGCTGTCCAGTCAAATTTTGGCAAATTCTGTCTATGTTAAAAGTCAGTAAATTGTATATGTCGGTGTAGGCATATATATGCACATTATGCTCATAGGTGTGGGTGCCAGATCTCCACATGGTCTACATCAAGTAATGAACTCATTGTCGAACAGTACGGTGATTAAACAGTCCTAACACAGGATAACAATACTTTATATCATACACAGCAGAAATAATGATTTTTTTGAGAAATGTTGATTTTGTGTTCACTTTAGTAGTAGGTTAATACCTAAACATACACACCGCAGGGGCTGCTGTAACATTAAAAGACAGGAAAGTAAATGCCCATTCTTTAGCATTAGATTATGTACATCTTTTGTGACTATGCACATCAACTCCTTCTCAACAAATGCTCATTTTGATTTTTAAATCTAAGGACAAAATATCAAAACATTACAGTCTGCTGTTTGCTGAAATCCTTACTTTTTTATACTAATGGTGAATAATAATGCCCAACATTTAAAAATCACATTTTATCAAATCTATAAGTCCAATTAGAGTCATAAAATGCTTATTATTATTATCTGCAATTATCTGTACATCAGAATTTGGGTGGAAAAAAACTATTATTCCACTAGGACCTACTACTTCTTATCATCTTGCGAGTATCTTTTAAAAGGCCAATTCTGGGAAAGCGCTTGTGCATGTACATCTGTAAATTCATTCATATTTGCCTTTATGATTAAATTTATCATTTTAAAATTATCTTCTAAATGGTGTGTAATCTTCTGATAAATATTTTGTTCTAGTTAAAGCTTTTTATGGAGTTATTTCCACTTTAAATCTATGCATTTCATACAATATTCACAGAATATACATCATTTTACAATATTCCAAAAACTGTCCTATACATTGAAAATGCCTTTGATAAAGGCTTTTAAACCATTCACTCATGGCGTCTGAATCCCGAAGACCAGTCAGAATTACACAGAATTAAATGATTGGCATTTGGGTTTTAAAAAAATCAGATATTGAATAGTTTATATTGATATAGGCCTATTTATTATAGATGTCTCCTGTCAAATTTCTGAAATATGTATGCTTGATTAGGCAAAGCACTGATCTTTGTTTGAGTGAAGACTGAGCCTTTGCGTAACCACGCAGAGTACTAACTGTTCCTCTAGACCGACTTCATGCCATAATGACTGGTGTAAACAGCCTTTGTTATTTTCACACTGATCTCAACCATAGATGGCAAAACAACACTCTTATGGGGTTTGAGAAAAAAGCAATATTTAAAAACTCTCTGGGATCTTGATTTGGTTATTTCCCTCACCTCTAAATGTAGCTTTTTTCATCCGTTTGGATATTCAGTCTAAACATTTCAGTTCCAAATAATGAAAATAATAAGGCCTCAGGTTATGCTACGAAACACAGATTCTTCCACAAATGTACAAAGCAATGGCAGATACCAATGGAAGCATCATCAGTCCAGCTGCTCTATGCATTACTGCTGCTTGAACACGGTGTGCTCTGTGTGCTGCCAATGCTGTGAGCCGCGCTGCTGTTCTCAGACACCGGCAGGGACTTTGGCACCTGCTGCTTTGGTCCTGTGCCACCTGAAGAGGGAGATGGATAAAGAGGACGTTGAGGCTTACAGAGACACATAGAAAAAGACAGTGTTCAGATTCATGAAGAAAACAATGACTCGCACTAAATGTGACTTTCTGTAAATCAGGTCACTCAGAATGACAGAAGCTGTTAAGCCGTGAAAGCATAGTAACCCTTTAAGACATTTATTTCAACATTTATGATTTTTTTTGTGTTTGTTCTGTTTTTTGCATTAAGTGTTTTTGTTGGTGCACTTAAGAGTATATTCATTTTGTGCACTGATTAGCTTCAGAATAGCTTCAGTAGCAGCAGACTAGAAAGTTTGATACAGATAAATATGTTTGATATGTACAGTATCACCATATCACCATCTTTACTCTTAAAAATAAAGGATCTATGGTTCCAAGAACGACTTTTAAAATCCATGGAACTCTCCCATTGCACAAAAAGGTTATTTACAGAAAACAAGCTTTCTTTAGATTACTAAAATGTTCTCCACACTAAGAAAATGTTTTTCTTTTAAGAGCTGCTCACTGATGGATTCTTTGGGGAACCCAAAATGGTTCTTTATGGCACTGATGCAATCTCTCATATTTTAAATATTTTATTTATAATATGTGACCCTGGACCACAAAACCAGTCTTAAGTTGCTGGGGTATATTTGTAGCAATAGCCAAAAATACATTGTATGGGTCAAAATTATTGATTTTTCTTTTATGCCAAAAATCATTAGGATATTAAGTAAAGATCATGTTCCATGAAGATATTTTGTAAATTTCCTACTGTAAATATATTACAGCTTAATTTTTGATTAGTAATATGCTTTGCTAAGAACTTCATTTGGACAACTTTAAAGGCGATTTTCTCAGTATTTAGATTTTTTTGCACCCTCAGATTCCAGATTTTCAAATAGTTGTATCTCGGCCAAATATTGTCCTAACAAACTATACATCAATGGAAAGCTTATTTATTCAGCTTTCAGATGATGTATAAATCTTAATTTCGAAAAATTGACCCTTAAGACTGGTTTTGTGGTCCAGGGTCACATATTTATATTTTAAATAGTTTAACAATTATATTATTTATTGCTGTAATATAATTTTTCATCTTTAAGTATTTATTTAAATGTATTGCACCACCTGACATTACGAGGAACAACAAATATTCATCCCATCCCAGAAAACACCTTTGTACCTTCTTTACCCCTAAAGGGTGCATGTTAGTACCTTAGAGTAGTAACACAAACCCTTAAGGTAGTAATATGTACTCTTATTGTAGTATTATAAACCCTTTTGGGGTAAAGAAGGTACAAAGGTGTCCCTTTGATGGTACTGCCACAGTGACAAGCTATTATACCCCCAAAGGTACACTTTTTGCAAAAAAAATTCTGAGAGTGTATGCAATATTAATTATTATATATAGTATTCTCGCTGTGGATTGCCTGATCGGCTTTCACCGTGGACGAAGGAGAATCCAGCGCGGGGTTGTCACGTGGTTGCCGCAAGCCAGCCGGCCGCGCTGTTCTCAAGCCCACCACAAATTAATGTTCTTTTTAGCAACATCATATGACCCCTTTAATACTATCAAACCTACATAAACTTCCATTTACACTTACAAAAGGATAAATACAGCATTGGCTCATTTCCACATGGTCACCTATCTTTTCACATATCTTTTCACATATCAAACAAAACACTGTCAACAGTTCTCCCGTCATCTTTTGTTTAAATTACCACTGGACTTGAATTGCTTTCCCTTAAGGAAACGTGCATTGCTGTATTTGAATTTGGCCAAAAAAGGCATCTAAGGAGGGTTGTATACTCAGTTTTGGAACAAGACTTAACATCTGTCTCATTCTTCTCTCTTTGTCTTCACTGATTATTGTTCTAGATGGATATAAACATTCCTCTATCAGAGGCCTCGACTCTGAAGCAGAGTGGCAAGTAAGAATGCATGTAATTCATCTTGTAGAGAGCTTGCGCCTGACAGAGGGTTGAACAGTTTTAATCCAATTCCAGGTTTGCTTTACATACTTGCCATTTGACTAAAACACCAATATTAAGAAGCACTCCGCTCTCCTGCACTACATACATCTTAAATCTCTGTAAAAACTCTGTAAATGAATTCCACTAATCCACTATTGTAAATTGGAAGTGTGTTTATATGCGTGTGTGTTTCTCTTCTCAGCTCAACTGGACGTGTGTCTGCTTTCCTGTTTTAGGCCCCTCTGCTGCTAATATGTGCCAGAGATGTGCTGCCAAGAGCTCCAGCTAAAAACAGCCTATTTCCTCATCCAGCGCTGTGTACTAGACTCAGAGGCTTATCTGCGTCTGTACACATCTTTATTATGCCCAATCATCTTGCGAACGTACACAGTGACATCAGCGCGCAGACTAACAACATATGTTGGTTATATAATTATATCAAACACTACCCCAAACAGAGATGCATTTTGGTGTATGTGTGAGAAAGAGTTTGATGGTAGCTTGTTGACCTCTTCCACTCGACCGTGTCACTACTCTGTGTGCACAGGGGCAACGTCCTTAACCTATCAGTGTGATCTACGACAGGGATGGTGACAGGATTACAGGAGCTGCTTTCTAACAGACTCCTGCAACATTCCACATGTAACTTTCCCTAAAATAGAAGCATCTCTAATGTATGTTTTACAATTATGTACTCATAATCTTGCATTCATTACACATTACTCTTTTAGTGTAAAAGAGTGAAGGATGTACATTACATTACATGTGAATTGAATGTTTTACTATACTATACTATACCAGTGTTGTTATTGTTAAGTAAAACTACATTCAATAAAAAAAATGAACTAAAATAAAGCTAAAATTAAATATAGTATGAAATAAATATTAAATTAATAGACAAATTTAAACTTTTAAATACAATAAAATAAGTGCTAATAAAAAAGTACTAAAGCTAAAACTGAAACAAAAAAACATAAAAAAATATTAACAATGACAAAACCACATAACAAAATTAAAAATTTAAATATAAAAATAAAAGCTATTTCAAAATATTAATAAATAGTATAAAACAATATAGATAATACTAAAATAGCATTGTACTATGCTACACTAGGGGTTTAGCAGCAAGAAGGAACCAAGGTTTCCGCTGAAAAAAAAAATGTAAATGATTTTTTAAATACATTTAGAATTACTCCAATGGTTAGAAGAAATATGCTGTTAATTAACAAAATTAAAGTAAATTATTTCCATATAATATTTGAATCACATTTTGGCTTTAGTACAATGAAAATACAAAAAGCCATATATTTAATTTTTTTAAACCACATGTTTTCCTCATAATATCACATTAGCTATATTAGGGGTTCTTGGCAAAAGAAAAAAAAGTAAAAGTAACGGAAAAACAGACGATAATTCTGTGGGTCTACCTGACAGAGAGAGAAGGAGGATTTTGCCTTTCATTTCACCAAAGCCTCTATCTGGCATTTTCTTGCACCTCCCCGGGGTGAAGACCACCTCCGTGTTTTCAAATGTTTCATCTTTTAGCATTTTTTTTTTCCAAACACAAAAAGCACTTGGGGTTAACGTCAGTATCAAAAATGATTCCATATAGGGCTATTTTAGTATGATTGAATACTTTACAATACCGTGGTTTAATAGGCTTTTGGCTTGTATGAAGTAATCAATGCCATTATGAGAAACACATGGCTGGAATGATCAGAGTTTACGCCACAAATACACTTTTTTTTTCTTTTAATTTCAACATTTTACAAGAGAATAAAAATCATGGTTTTGACCTTAAATGAACTTAAAGGTTAGTCAAATTCAAAAGTGTCACCCTTCTGTGGGTCTACCTGACAGAGAGAGAAGGAGGATTTTGCCTTTCATTTCACCAAAGCCTCTATCTGGCATTTTCTTGCACCTCCCCGGGGTGAAGACCACCTCCGTGTTTTCAAATGTTTCATCTTTTAGCATTTTTTTTTTCCAAACACAAAAAGCACTTGGGGTTAACGTCAGTATCAAAAATGATTCCATATAGGGCTATTTTAGTATGATTGAATACTTTACAATACCGTGGTTTAATAGGCTTTTGGCTTGTATGAAGTAATCAATGCCATTATGAGAAACACATGGCTGGAATGATCAGAGCTTACGCCACAACTACACTTTTTTTTTCTTTTAATTTCAACATTTTACAAGAGAATAAAAATCATGGTTTTGACCTTAAATGAACTTAAAGGTTAGTCAAATTCAAAAGTGTCCCCCGATCTGAGATGCCAGTATAAACAGGCAAATAATAATAAACTCATTCTCTGGGGTTACCTGATCTGAGCTCTTCAGTCCCTTTTAACAACAGTGAGCAGAAACACAGCTGGATAATGTCATCCCAACTGAATACCACAGGCAATATTAATAAAAATTACACTGATTTATGTTTTTGAAAAAAAACCTGGAATAAAAATGAAAGCTAATAAAAGCTAAACATGACTTCTTTTATGTCAAGATACGGACATATCCAAGATATACATGTTCTAAAAACTCAAAAATAGATCAAATCCAGAATGGCTTTGATCCTCAGTCAACATACTGATACTCATCGGCCTACACAACTGCAGATTCTGGAACAGTGACTCCCTTCAATCATGTGCCATGAAATGGTAGCAGATCAACGGCACTGAGGACAGAAACCAGTGGCTGGACTAGCGGGAATGCAAAAGGGTGGAAACGGGGGCTAAGAAAGCACATGCACTTCCTCTGGAGGGTCAACAGAGGTTGTTGGCCTGGCGACAACAGGGCAATGCAGGGAGGAGGGGCGGGTGATCTTGGCATTCAGAGGGAGGATTGTATATGTATTTTCCTGTGAGGCCTGGAGACACCCTCACAGCAGACAGGGGGAATTCCAGTCCCCTTCGGGCTATTGTACCCAAAATACTGCTGACCATTCAGCAGTCCCCCACAATGCCTGAAAGAACGGAAAAGACAGATGCTCTTCTGCTGACGAACGGGATATATTTACGAGCTGGGAGTCAATATGTTATTGTTAACATATCGCTGCTGCTACGAGAACTGGCAAGCCCTTCCGATTATCAAAAATGAGCAAGTTTCCTCTCTTATTTTGACAATATGATAAATGACAATGCATAACTCTCAGTACTAACTAGTGTGATGCAGGGAATGGGAATGAAGGTCAAGGCTGTGATGTGAATTTGCAGTATTTTCTCACCTGTATGCGAGTAGATGAACCATAGAGCTCCAGTCAGAAGGGCTCCAATCACAAAGGCAGCAAAAGCGATGCCCACCACAGTTGGGGTGTCCAAGAAATATATAATGCCTGCAAGAAAAATGTTAATAAATATATTAAATTATGTCTGTTAAGCATGTAGTGGTTAAAATTTCTCACTCTGTGGTCAAGGTTTCAGTACAGCCTTCAGTACAGCTTGGTGAACCGTATGGTTCACATTTGTCAAAACATTTGACTTCTAATGTCTGTGTTTTATCTCAGGATAGCGTGCATGATATGGTTCATGATGTTTGATGTTTACATGCTGTGTGGTGTAAGTGTTTGGTGGCCATGTGCTGTATAAAGTAATAGCACATGCTTTGAATGGGCTTTGCAGTGGCATCCGTGAGCAAGCCAAGCATCTCCTTGGACTCGCGCCACAAACCGAATGACTTTCAGAGCTCTAATTAGCTCTAATGATCACTGATCACACAGCACAATAGACCCTGTGTGGCCGCCAGCTTCACACCCTGTCTGGTTCAGCGCCAAAATCCCAAGCACAATAGAGGCTATTCTCAGAAAGAGCACCTTCAAATTTTCATCTCCTCTGACAGACTGATGACAGACTATCGCTGGAGTGCTCTGTTACAACAAGAGTGAGCGCTTTGTAACAGCTCCCCCCTCATGCTTTACCCTTTACCCTGAATCCCCACCAGAACCTTCCCCTATATCATATCTGTCCAGGGCAACTCAAAAACATAAAGCTTGCCATCAACATAATTGTCTATATATATATGTGTTTTTGAGGCCTGGGCAAAAGAGGGAGTATTAAAATGTTTGAGGATGGTACATTTTTTTTATGGTTCTAAGATTTTACCTACCCTACATTTTTAAAAGTATGAAAAATGCCTTTAATACACTGAAAAATGGATTCCACTGATTTTCCTAATACTGTCTTTTTCTAATACTGTCTCATACCTGTTTGGAATGCAAATGATAACAAAATGTTCCATTTTTGAGTGTATCCCTTTAAGCAAGGCAGAAAATCAATAATAAAGTATAATCTCAGCATGTACTGTATTTACGGCTTACAAGAGGAAGCAAAACAGAACAGAGAACAAAAGCTTGTATGTTTAGAGGATTCATGGGAGAAGCTATGTCAGCTCAAAGCTCAGAGCCAGGGATGTGGTTTACTCTGCCATTGCCATAAGTTTGGCTGAGCTACTCCACCCACAATCCCTGTAAAGTATCTCAGAGGGAAGTAAATGAACTAGCCCTAATGAGTTGGACAATATTTCTATGTAGTCACCACCGCCCAAGATCTCGTCCCGAGTGTCAGAACGTATTTGTGCTGTTCTTTACTTCGCCCTTTTTAGGGCTAGCTGGGTTTCAGAAAGGAAGTAAACTTGAGAGCAAGAACAATAAGCTTGTGTGTATTTTTTGGACAAAGATGGGACAAACTTCAACAAGATGATGTGTTTGCCTGATTCAGCAGTATAGAGTAAAGTAAAAATCTCATTTATTTTATTCATAGAAAAATACTGTTTTAGCAAAAACATTAATCTATGAAGACAGTTGTTAGGTGATGGTATATAATTTCACAGAAGCCACAAGTTACCATGGAAGTTGGAATCCAATCACACAGACAGTCCAAAAAATCGTTGTTGATTATGTCATTCACAACACTTCACGGAATGAGGAGTTCTTGCCTCATAAAAAGGTAAAGTACACAAAAATATAAACCGTAAAGTAAAAATCTCATTTATTTTATTCATAGAAAAATACTGTTTTAGCAAAAACATTAATCTATGAAGACAGTTGTTAGGTGATGGTATATAATTTCACAGAAGCCACAAGTTACCATGGAAGTTGGAATCCAATCACACAGACAGTCCAAAAAATCGTTGTTGATTATGTCATTCACAACACTTCACGGAATTCTTGCCTCATAAAAAGGTAAAGTACACAAAAATATAAACAAATTTTTGTCCCAAATCAAGTTTTTTTAGTGCTGTTTTATCTCAGACCTGACTGGTTTGGTTTAACACTTAAATTTTGTTGTTAAATATTCTTTTTTCATAAGGTTTTGGAATACGCTACACAACTTCAAGATGTTTTTTCCCCCTGATTTGCTTTTTGTAGGAATCGGTGCTAGTTCCTGAAAGTCAGAACCAGTCTGCAGATTTTGGGCTGTCAGATTTGACAGATCTCACTGAAAATTGTGTAGCGTGTGATGGCCACAGCCTGACAGACTGAACTTGTCCAGTTGGAGGATATCAAATATGTTGATATTTTAAGCCGATTTTAAAACACATTTTATTTGTCATGCGTCTCCTAGAAAAGTTTGTCATGTCCACAATAACTTCAAAAGCAACCTGAACTTGATTAGCAGCACATCAATTTCAAATTATTACATTTACAACAATCTAATTTGAGTGTGTACCTTCGTTTTAGACCATATGGATAGGGAATTATTGTTTTCTGATCATAAATCTGTTTTCGGGTGGCAATGATTTGTTCTGCTGTGTTTTTCACTAAGCAAGGCACTCCCACAAACTGCCCTCTTTGATTTGTAGATTAAGCCAAATAATTTGGGATCCTGTCCAGAGCGGTGCTTTGAGCATTTTTGAGAGGTTGCTTTTCTGCCATGTCTGTACAAGAGTTGTCTTTGTGTTCAAAATGAGACACAAAGCCTGTTTTCATTACTTTTATGGCATATCTGTGTTTACCTAATCCACACCAGAGAAAATAAGCCTGGCGTTGGCAACATACACAAGCCTGTTTATGAAGAATGAGCCCACATTGGATTCATACTGAATTCACATACAATCAGGATTCACTCCCGATTTCCCAGGTATGTGTCATCTGCTTGCTATGGAACTGATCTTTGATTCTTTTCCACTCAGAAACAACTAAACCTACATAAGACTTGACTTGAGGCAATAAAATCCCAGCTTGCATCCTACAGGAGTGGCAATCATTTCCCTAATCAAGTGTGACTAATAGACACATGCTCCATTTGCTACAAGCAGCACATCAACATTGTGTTATTAAACCGGAATGATTTTCATTAAGGCTGTGAGTCAGTAAAGTCGAATCCCTCTAACCGCAATAGGTACAATAGTGCCAAGAGGATGCAGGGAAGAGAACAAATCAGTCATGGTCGAATTAAGTTTCTTTGTGAAACATTTAGACACCACCCTGCTGTCCTCTAGTACGCTACACAATCTATATATGGCAAATGCACTCTGCCGTAAAGGAGACTGCAGGTATGCAGTGCATAAGAGCCCTTTTCTTTATCACTGTCATTTTTTTTTCTTATCCTCCTCTCCCCTATTCCCCTCTCACTGTATGGGAAAGGGAGGCCTTAAAGAATGTTTAAGTGAAAACAAATGCTATCCAGAATTGGAAAGCTGGTCTTTTTCCTCTCCTCTGATGCATCTACGAGTCCCTTGTCCCACATCTCTAATGAACCACATACTGTATACTCTCAAACCAAACCACATTGAATGCACAATAAACACACACATGCAAACACACACATACTCAACACTGCCACATATTAAAAGACTCCAGATGGGAGTAATGCGCCACAAAGCAAGACAAGGCCTGTGATCTATGAGTGACTGACATATACAACTTCAGACGCACACATTCTCCCATGATGCTTCATATACGCTATGCTCTTCAAAATATCTAAGCCTCGAAAAAATAAAACAGCTTCTTCTATAACACTGAAATGACTGGAGTCTTCCTCTCATGTGAATGATTTAAAATATATTTTTCAAAGGACTGATTTTTGTGGATTTTTTTATTAGAATATATATATTTTTATGCGATATTTACCTGGATGTCGTGGACCAGGTGGCTCCACAGGTACGTTAACAGTGACAGGTGTGTTGTCGGAGACGACCACAATTGGCTTGGTGATGGTCTTGGTGTTCTTCATCATGAGGAGGATGTTGTCCACACTGAGGTAAGTGCAGGCTTCATCTGGTAACATACACTACAAAGAGAGAAGCAGAAACGTTAGAACAAGATCCAGGTGTAATCTTTGGCATAAATAAAAGAGCTTACTATAATAAACAGGCTTACAACGGCACTACTTTTATTATGAGGAGAGGCCAGATTTTGGAATCTGCTGCAATTTGGCAAACAGAAAAAACACAGATATTCTACATGTATAAATGGGGTGTTAATGTAGGACTCAGCAATAAGAATTTTTACCAAAGATATTTTATATTTTATTTTTAGTAACATATTTTGAAGTGTATTTGTATACATTTTATAAAATGTGTTCGAAAAGGAGGTACAAAAGTTGTAATTGGAGGAAAACCCTTTTAAATGGTACACCTTTGTGTCTTATTGATTTCTTAAGGGTGCATATTAGTAATTTAAACGTACATATTAACCTTTTGAAAGGGTACCACCACAGTGATAGCTTTTGCACCTTTTTTTTCTATCATACCATTTGTTGCAAAACATTACTGATTTGTTAACTGTACACAACAATGCAATACTGGCCTTAGAATCAACTGGCCTGAAACACTCTCACAGTGACCCCATCAGACCATCCTTATTTTTAAGCCCTGTGACGTACAAAATTTTAACTTTGTTCTTTATAAGCATGGATTAGTGTATATAATAAGCCATTAAAGCCATTCTCTGTGTTGCAGCCATTATGCCCGAGCCAAACCAAGCACACGCTCTTCACAGAGAAAGCACATATAATTTCATACACAGATTATATGGTTTGACGTGTCACGTCTCTTATCCTCATCCAGATTATGACTGAACAGTAAACATCTACTAAACAATTAGTCACTTCCAAGATCATGTTAGGTGAAACATAAACAACCTTAATGTGCAATATGATGATTAGAGCGTCTGAAAATGCTGGAGATTAAAATGATTATGGCTCGAAGCAAGGGAGGAAGGAAAATTTGAAAAAGGACAGTGAAAGTTGGAGATTTGTTTTTCCTCTGTGGATGGTAACTGAAGTAACCTAAGATTTACGCATCCCGCACTCACAGAGAGTGGATTGATGCTAGCAGCTGGCGTAGAGTGACCCGTGCCAAGGCAATGAATCGAAAAGCAACTCTTAGGATGGACAGCAAAGTCAAACAGACTATTTAAATGAATTAAAGGTTGTGTTCATGTTGTCCATATAATAAAGCAACTACTCTGAAAATACGTCCTAGGGTCAATAAGTTATCTGCGTTCCTGTGCTCTGACTTAATGAGATCTGATAACCCTGTGCAGCCTAAAATTAAACAAACATACACAGTGCAGCTAATTTGGATTCGGTTAATGATGCTGATAATGCAGCTGATTGATTTTCAATCAGATTGTGTGAAAGCCAATACACATACAGTTTATGTTAATCAGTTAAAACTGATTTGTATTGGAACAGTTTAATGAATTGGAACTGTGTTATCGCAGGGTCATCTATAAAGATATGTATAAATAATACAAAGATAGTATGTAAAAGAAAGAGAAATGCATATATTATGATAGCAAAGATGAAGGAGGTAAAGGCTATGTACCAAAACCTGGTGAGCTGCCTTACTGCCTAATTAGGAAGCTTCTTTTTAAGACAGCATCATAACTGAAATGGAAGTTCATGAGTAAGCTCTACATAGCAGCCCCTCTAGGATTTTGTTATCTTGAACATGAGAATTGCTGCAAATGTAATAAATTGTGGCATTATTTGTGCTAGCTTTTTGTTATCTTTCCAAAGTATTTCTGTAAAATCATTAACCTGAGGGGAGAAATGCAATATTAGCCAATCAAAACTCAATGTGCAAACAAATAGTGCAATACATCATACCTGTCCTGCTGTGAATTTGATCATAAAATGATCAGAAATGGACTGGTGATAAAGGCCACAATTGTTTTCAGTGATTAAAGGGATTCACCTAAAAATTAAAATTTGCTGTTAATTTACTCATCCTCAGGCCACCAAAAAATATAGGTGGCTTTTTCTTCAATAGAACATTAAGAAGATTTTTAGCTGAAACCGTGATCCTTGGTCAATCATAAAATGCAAGTCAGCGGCAACAGCCACTTTGAGAGTCAAAACAGTATATCAGAGTACAAAAACGTAATACCCTAATGATATATTGAGGTGTTATGAAGCAAAACTGGAGATTGAGGTCACTTTATTTTAAGGTCCAATTCTGGCTATTAACAAATTGTTAACTATGACTTTTGCCTCAATAAACTCCTAATTTTCTACTTATTAATAGGTAGTAAGGTAGTTGTTAAGTTTGGGTATTGGGTGGGATTAGGGATGTAGAATATGGTCATGCACAATATGTGCTTTATAAGTACTACTAAACAACCAATATGTTAATAATAGGCATGCTAATAAGCATCTAGTTAATAGTAAGAATTGGTCCCTATACTAAAGTGTTACCAACATTGTTTACTACATTATTACCTGTAATCCATTCATTTAAAAAAGGACAGTGAGCCAATACACCTACAGTTTAAATGAATCAGTTAAAAACCTACTTTTAGGAAGTGGAACTGTGGTATCACAGGTCATCTATTAAGATATATATAAATAATACAAAGATATTAAATAAATGAGGAAGAAATGCATGTATAATGATAGCAAAGTAACTTGTAAATCTGTGCTGTTCAAGCTGCAAAATATTTTAGACTATTTTAAATAACCAGTTCAAAAGAATAACTTGTTTAATCACTCCAGACCACATGCTTTAGGCTATGATAAAAGATGTCCAGTTTCTAGCACAAACCAATCATTTCACTTCATAAGACCTCTATATAACGTCAGGAACTCCGGGTATTAATTTTGTTTTCCATTATATGTTTTTTTTTTGTTGACACTCAAGTGATGGTAGCAACTGACTTGCATTGCAGGACCACAGTTTCCGCCAAAAATCTTCTTTACTGTTCAACTGAAGAAAAAAAAAAGTCACCTTTATCTCGGATGGCCTGAGGGTGAGTACATTAACAGCAAATTTTCATTTTTGGGTTAAATATCCCTTTGAACAAATGTACAGGTAGCTACAGGTAATCTTACTGAGACTAATTCTAATTATACAAATACATTATGATTATTGGTGAGTTTTACTGCAAATCAACACAATACAGAAAATATTGTGATCATTTTTAAGGAAAAAAAATATTTTGGTGATGCAAAAATAAAATTTAAAAAATTCGCAAAATCCTGACACAAGTGGCAATTCTGTACATCCTACAAAATATTTTCTACAAAGGCAGCTCATTAGATCAGAGCTGCTATGTTAGATGATGGTTTCTACCTCTGGCAGGTTCATCTTCTTGTCATTTCTTCGGGTGCAGAGGGACATCTCACAGTGCAGGAAGATCAATGATACATCGAACTTTGATCTGTAGGTAAAACTGAAGCGTTTTCTGTCCATCTGAACATGAGGGATGGGGAAATCGCCTCGCTGAGGGTAATAGCGCACAGAGTCGTCCTTAGGACATATGTTCTCTATGACAACATAGTCCGATGGTGTAAGAGGACTGGAGTCTGGAGATATGAAGCAGGTCTGGATCATGAACCCAAGGTTAGGATCGGCTTTTGTGGCTGAAATCTGCGGAGAAAGGTCACATGTCTCTGTTAATAAAGAAAAAGTCATTTTTCTGTGAGACAAAATATGTTTCTGCTGCAAAAAAATAAAAGAGAGAGACAGCAAGACAAAGAGAAAAAGAAATACTGCTTTCTTTATCTTGATTAATACAACTTTTTGACAATTTTTCATAAATATCATCAAAAGTGATTCATATAGTAAGAGATGGATCAGCAGAGTGATGCTTAGATGCTATATTTATGTCTAGTCCTCTAGCAGACACACTCAGTCTATCTTTTTTGATCAGTCTGAGTGAGTTTTTTTCCACCAACTCTCTCAGGCATCGATTCAAATCAGCAAATAACGTACAGAGGCTGTCGATTTGTTTTAACACAGCAGACTGTCTAAAGAAACACTGTCAGAGTGGTTATGGTTCCAAGAATCACAAATTCTGACATCAGATTTCTGTGCCTCAAATAAATCTTCAAGGATCATTCAGTGGTAAAAGTTTGGTCATCTGACAGATGACAGATAAGAGCTGCCACAAAAAAACACTGCATTCCATTTCCTCAACAGAGCTGTGCCAAAGAGGTGTCATACTCTGGAGAGTGGCCGAATCATTTCAGGTAGGCAGACGATGATCCTCAAACAGTAATGCGTAAGATCCATACATAGCATGCATTTTTAGTGACAACAGACTGTCACACAGATAAGAGCTGCCACAAAAAAACACTGCATTCCATTTCCTCAACAGAGCTGTGCCAAAGAGGTGTCATACTCTGGAGAGTGGCCGAATCATTTCAGGTAGGCAGACGATGATCCTCAAACATAGCATGCATTTTTAGTGACAACAGACTGTCACACACACACACACACACACACAAACACCACAAAAATGACTTGCTACATTTCTGAAGTAGCTTTGTGTGATTGTGTGCATTTAAGTAATTTTCTACTCAAAATCTTGCAACACATGAGCAACATAAGGGGGAACCAGTAGTATCAACTGAATATTCAGATGCATAATAAAGATATGAGGCAGAGGGCAATAATTTAAACTTCAGTATTTATGCCGTACAAAGTTATTGCATGGTTCCAAAAGACTTGAATTTACAGTCACTGATCACTGTCTAAAATTGGAAAAGCTGGAATCTACATCTGGAACAACGTAAGTGAATAAGTGTTATCAGACTTTTTATTACTGCATTAACTCTTTGACACATGTTGTTAATGTAGGGTGATGCATGCTTCACCCTACACTGTTGCATTAGTTATATGTATAGATGTTTTTTCAGTTACACATTTGTCTTTTTGTGGTTTGAGAGCTTGACTAAAGTTCATGTTGAATATAGGAAAATGTATATGACACCCTTTCTTTTTTTAAAACCACTTCGTTCATTCTTTAAAGCTGCAGTCCGTAAGTTTTGCCTCTTTGTCGCCATCTCTGTTTGAGAACTGCAATTGCAGATATTTGTGGAATTATCTTCTTTGCGTGGGTTGTGCACCGGCACGGCTCCAGCATGGGTGAATCTAATGTTTTGAGGAGTATGTGTGGCTACACCGCACCAGTTTGGATACTGTACTTCGGAATCAAAGATTCTAGCCTACGTCTTGGAAGTATGACCCAAACAAGAATTTTCACCATATATTGTCATCTGAACAAGAAACAAGTCTGCCACTTTTGTTCTGACCAACTGAGGAGAAAAGCAATACAATAAATCGTGCTACCAATGGTGATTAAATCTAACGATTGGTTAGCTCATATCACATCAATCCATGCAAATTATTATTATTGTTACTTTGTTCTCAAATTGTTAATGTTAATAACATCAGCATTGGGTGACTATGTGTATGTAGTGTCTATTAGTGGTACATGTAGATTTTAATTTCTGTACAGTCTAATCTCTAATTGTCATACCTTTTGAATTTCATATAAAGAAACTCTTTTAACCCAAAAAGCAAATTATTCTTCTCTTTAAAATACAAATCTTGTGTAATCCCACGCACATTTAAAACTGGAATATAATCTAATTTCAGTTTCATTAACACATAATCCTCTCTGGATTACGATTCGTCATCAAAATGATAAATGTAATTATTCCAGCTGCTGTGAGAAAAGGCTATAAACGATCCGCAGGATCCTCACATGCGATATAGCCTACTATCTGGGATGCCTTCTTTATGTTTACAGACGTGACGTAATGACGTGGCGGCATGCTTGAATTTCCCGCAAATTCCTACCAGTACCACTCAAATTAGAAAACGATATTATAAGATTACCGTTGTAAATCGGGCTAAATTAAGGAGTTTTTTTCAAGTTTTGAACACTGGCTGGTACTTGCTCAAAAATTTTATAATTTTTAAATAAAAAAGGACTGCAGCTTTAAGTAAACCCACTGTACAGTGGTTAGATTCACTGTTTTGTGACAAGCTTAAGAATATATCATTAGCTATGTCTCCATCCAAAGTTGCGAATTTTACTTATGCACAAAAATTGGAATATCACATAAAACATTCGCAAATAAAGCACCGTTTTCATCCAGTGAGATGAAGAAATCATCCCTTCCTGATAAACTGGTGCCAAATATCACTAAGAAAAAGGTAATATGCTGCAGTAGGAGGCTGCAGTTTCATACATAAATTACTTGAGCCTCAGAGCGCGCAAACGAAATGCAATTAAAACAGTAATGTTCTCTTGCTTTCGAAGGCGGATGCATGCTGTTTGGGAATGCAGTCATGAAAGACAGTTCTTGAAGGTAATTATACCGAACCACTTTGACTACAGACTTTGGCTTAAGCATTTAAGAATGAGCAAAACAACATTTCAGATGCTGTGCAGCGAGATCGGTTAGTCCAGTTATGCCATCCCATAGACAAAAGTCACTTTACTCTGTTAATGCACATCAAGGAATTTATTCTGTAAATGCGTTTCCACCTAGTTTTTGCGGATGTTTTCTTATCAAATAAAAAAACTATCCAACTCAGTTGAGCGCATACGTTTTTTATGCACATTTTTTGAATTTATGCGCATTCTTTGGTGTTTCCATTCAGCGTTTGCTGTAATGCAATATTTCAAAATGTGCATGAAAATAGGTGGATGGAAACATAGCTATTAATAATTTTTTTACTTGTTTTAGGTATAAACTCACTAAAAACAAGCGTTTAACAAATTAGTAATTAAAAACCTTATTGCATATTGTTGAAAAGCTTTGTGATCTACCGTCTGATTGAATGGTATAAATCAATACATCAAAAGCAACGATCAGCACTGATCTGTTATTTTCATTTGGCATATGAGCTGGAACATCAGTGGACATATATAATGAAAGACTATAACCCTGAAAGAAAGAGAGTTATAAACACAAAATGGGGACCTGAGCATTCCACTCTGAGATCAAATATTGTCTGCCTTCCCCTCTTGAAACCCCACTGATTAATGACAAAATGACATGAGCCCAGACCAGACAAAATGGACACACAGCAGACTCCTGACTTCTTTCACAGTGATAGACAGAGAGAGATCTATACACACACTCTCACAAATTCAGGACAATGTCTGATCAGACACACAGACACCAGGCGCTTATGGTATTAGAAACATGAAACCATACACAATGAGAACCACACATTATGGTTAAAGGGTAAAAGCAGACCTTGTATATCAAGAGCATTTGGCAGTGACTATATTTGTGTATATGGTTTCTCATTCAATTATTAAATTAGATTCCTAATATGGTTACAGAACTGGAAATAGTTTTATTGAACCCCAAAGGAATCTTTTCCATCATAACGCACATACAGAATATTTGTATTACACAATGTAATGCCCCACGGATTCCACATATACACTTCTGTTCAAATGTTTGTGGTTAGAAAGAAACGGTACCTTTTATTTAACAAGGATGCATTAAACTAATCAAAAGAGACAGCAAATGTTTGTTTTACTTTCTATTCAATTCAGTAAAGAATTCTGAATAAGTTTCCACAAAAATATTACGCAGAACAACTGTTTTCAATTTTGATAATAATAAGAGCACCAAAGAAGATTTCTTAAGTAATATCACAATATTACTGTTGTTTTTAATGCATTTCTGATCAAATATGTGGCTTTGATGAGCATAAGAGACTTTTTTTTTTAAACATTAAAATAGCTTACCGACGCCAACATTTTGAACAGTAGTGTACATGTAGGTTTTCATCTCTAAAACACTTCTGTGTTTAGGAAGTATGTGAGTGTGATGAGTCAACAAGCCAGGAATGTGATCTTAATCGATCAGAATCCAGCATTCAACTGTGGTATATGAATATATATATATGCTTACCTCCACATAGATGGGCCTGTTCTCAGTGATGGTGAGGAAGGACTGAGCGCTTGGGTAGTGAAACGGATTGTTATACAGTTCCATGTTGAAGGTAACATTGTCTAGAGAGTCTACAATGAAATCATCTGATCCGATACCACTGTCAACCGGGGTGTCCTGGTTTTTACGGTATGTGCAGTTAAACTAAGGACAGGGAAACAGAGTTGGAAAATATTAATATGCATGGAAAATATTACAAAATGTAGTAAATTTGACTTATTTCTTCATCACATAAATGCAGTAGGAGAAAAACAGACTCAAAAAAATTCATTTTATATATACATTTTTGAGTGAACTAATCTTGCAGTACCATTTATGAATACTACATGACATGTAAATATCATACCAAGATAGTTGCACGATGTCCGTTTTCAGGTGAAATTCTTTCTGTCACATCCAGATCTCCTGGTATTACAACATCTCCTAACTCCAGATCTTCATATTCAAAGGGCCAGCCGCTTCCATCCTTCTGTTCTGATTGGCTAATAACAATCTGTCAATCACAGACACACTTAGTTCATGACTTCTCAATAATAAGTCAACGTAAACCCAACAATTTCCTAACAATCGTACAATTGCCTCTATAAATCTCTCCTTCGACATGACATTGCTTCACTCTGTTGCTTAGCACAGATACAGTCAAAGATAATCGAAATGCATACTTGCCAAAGGTCTGCCGAAACAGATGAGAAAGCTGGATTTAATACATGGGAATGCACAATTTCAGCAATGCGACTCCCAAGGCAGATGAACAAAAAAAAAACATCTCAGTTCTTCTCATCGGAAAAAACACGACAATCCATTCACATTATAGTATGAGAATCACCTCCCTATGTGAGCTCAGAAGAGTTTGTGGGTTCAAAGGTGAAAGAGTCCTGTGAACATTGTCTAATGGGTTCAAAGGTGAAAGAGTCCTGTGAACATTGTCTAATGAAGGTGAAATTGATGCACACAAGACTTGCCAATTTGTCATAGGATTGTCATTGCAACAACAACCTCCTTTGATGCTTTCTGGATCTTTCTCTGTGAGCCAGTACTGTGCTCTGACCATATGGGTCACATCGTTTTAATTGCCCTTGAGGATTAGAGTTCACAGTAAAGGATAAATATTTGGGAGGTCGCCCAGTTTTTTTAATGGGTTATGGGCTAAATGTGTTGTTAGGAATTTCCGCTAGAAATTATCATAGAAGATCAGTGTGGAAGTGAATCATCCCTTTTGGGTGAAAACACACTTATAGGACCAATAAACAGAGAAATCAGATATAGCGTGTTGGAGGGGACATTGACCCTGAATACCCACATGCATCAGACAAAGCAACGCAAACAAGGACTAGATTTCACAGTCTGATACTATTGATTGCATATTTGCTTTAGTACTCACTGAATTGATATAAAGGACCACTGGGCTGGGGTGGGAGGGAATTTTGGTGGTTTGGCAGCCAGACAGGGGCGTCTCCAGTATATAGTGGGTGTTGTTGGAGGTTGCTTTGCATTGGGAGTCCTGAAGAGTGATATTGGGTTTTCCATACCCATTGGCCTGTGAGGACAAAAATCTCAACCTTTGACAACATATACAACATATATTGCTGCGTAAATCTGAAATCCATTGCGTGTTTCAGTTTCTGAAAGTAACAAACAAGACTTGCAAGCCGGCCTAACTCTGCTCAAAAGCATTTTGATTGTAGAATGAGGGTTTTTTCATCCTCTGAAGTGGTCTATTACACTACTCTTTGGTTTCTTACATCATTGCATACGGCCCACACATTCTGGGAATATTCACACTGCATCAGCTTGAGGGAAAACAAGGTGTCTCTCACGCACCATTTCTGCACTTCTTTAACCTTTTTATATTGTTCTTACCAGTGCTAGAGAAGCTACTTCGAAACTATAGCTTATCTAAAGTAGTTTAATAATACTTAAGCTACAAGTTTAAACAAGTACAGTAGTTAGCTACATTTCAAGCTACCCTACTAATAAAGCAACAAAAGAATAGAAATGCATCAAAAGTGTTTAAATATTCAAACATGCCCTTCAAAGTTTTAGGTTAAGGGGTTTGTTTGTTTTGTTTGTTTGCTTGCTTTTTAAAAAATTAATACTTAAATTTAGCATGAATGCATTAAACTAATCAGACGTGACAGCAAAGATCTTGGGATTGTTACAAAAAAAAAATCTATGTGAGCTAATGAAAAATGTAGTAGTAGTAGTCCCACTACTTTTAGTTAGTTACTCCGCAATACTCATTCTTACATCTCAATATTTGTGCTTAGGTTATGTTTCCTGTTACCTGTAGAGTTTCCTTGTCGATGCTGACCACCATTTTGTTCTTCTCACACTGCACACTGAATCCTACATTCGAAGCCCCCTGCTGCTCCTCGGGACCCCCAGCCTGATGATCACGCTCCTCAAGAGACGGGGTTAGAGGTGGGAATGACAGGCCCTGGTCCGTGGATGGCAGGAAGGGAAAAGGGAACCTGTTCCGTGCAGGGGAATCCCGGGCGCTGGGCTTAGGAAGTGGGTTGGTATTGCGGAGAATGGACAACTCTGGTGGGAACATTCCCTCATCCATGTTCCCTAGATCTGGAAGTGACAGCAGTTGAGATTGAAAAATCACTCTGATTGACAGCTTCTTGTTGTTAATGCAAATGCAAGGAAATCACACACAAAGCAAACACAGTAATAACCAACTCACATTAGCTTGTGAAATGTATAGTTATTTTTATCAATGCTGATTTTTTTCTTCAGAGAATTTAGTATTTTTATCTTGTTTTCCCGTACAAATTAATATTATGAGATACATTTACTTAAAAACCAACATATTAACAATTGTTCTTGATTCAGGTTTTATATTCCGTGGATGGCAGGAAGGGAAAAGGGAACCTGTTCCGTGCAGGGGAATCCCGGGCGCTGGGCTTAGGAAGTGGGTTGGTACTGCGGAGAATGGACAACTCTGGTGGGAACATTCCCTCATCCATGTTCCCTAGATCTGGAAGTGACAGCAGTTGAGATTGAAAAATCACTCTGATTGACAACTTCTTGTTGTTAATGCAAATGCAAGGAAATCACACACAAAGCAAACACAGTAATAACCAACTCACATTAGCTTGTGAAATGTATAGTTATTTTTATCAATGCTGATTTTTTTCTTCAGAGAATTTAGTATTTTTATCTTGTTTTCCCGTACAAATTAATATTATGAGATACATTTACTTAAAAACCAACATATTAACAATTGTTCTTGATTCAGGTTTTATATGTCTATAGGAAAATAGCTTTTTTATTAAGCATTTTGCAGTTGTTTTAACACTAGCATTTTAATTTGGTGTTGTGTTACTGAAATCTGAATGTTACTGAAATTATTTTTTTGCAGTGTATTCAATTAATTAGGTTTATTTATAATTAAGACTTATTTACTAATTTAGCATAATGTAACTATTTTGAGTTTAGACTTTTCATATCTTCAGTTACTGCTCTTGCCTTGTTCTCTGAGGCGCAATTTGAAGTGGTTGGCAACAGGGGTGTTGGTGTAGGAAGTGACGGGTTTGAATCCATTTTCCTCTGCCCACTGGATGAGAGCCTGAGATCCTGCGGGCAGCTTCTGTTTCACCGTCTTTGACACCGGCACCAGCCTTTCTGTGTCTTCACTCAGGCTGACAGTATCTGACGTCTGAGAAGGACAGAGGGGAAGAACAAAATAACACGCATTCACTTCACATGCAGAAACATAAAGGAATACAGTCAGAAGTGTTCATTCTTTGAGTCCAGTTCAACTCCAAATTAGTTTTTCTGAGACACATTTCACAACTCTTAAAACAATAAGCCAAAGTTGTTCTTGATTTCATTAACATACAGTATTCTGATCTAATACCTTATCGTATGATCCAAAATTAACATTCGCTAAGCCCCAAATGGAAGTAAAGAAACGTTGGCCAGAAAAGATATTGCAACATAATGCATGTTTTAAATCAAATTGCAAGAATGGTAAGACTTAAAAAAAAACACGTCAGTGCTCAAATGCAAAACAATGCTTACATTGTCAGTGTAAATTTTATCATCAGAACTAATTCCTAATTCTTTTTTTTATGTTGAATATTTTGATTTAATATTGAAAGGGAAAAATCAGAAAATAGTGTATTTTTAAATTTTTCAAAAACAAGAATTTGGCTTGATTTTTCTTAAGGTTAAAGGCTTAGAAAATGGATAAAAACATTCAAGCTGTCAATAATTCTGTTTCCAATGTTAAATCAAAAATTAATGAACGCAATGTACTTGGATGCATATGTCTGAGCTTATAGTTAAAAATATGCAATATTAAAATATTAAATTGTCATATCGATGCAATTAAAAAAAATATATATGCAAAACCGTTTTTTTTATTTTTATCACACGACATTGGTCCTTATTGCAAAACTTTTGGACCATCCTCATTACATATATATCTGTAGTTTCGACAAAGTGAGTCATGCTGCTGTTGATCTATGACCAATTTAACAGGTTCAGTTTGATTGTGGTTTGAGATGCGTCAAATTACATAGGAATGATATGTTAGCTTCTCTTTGTTCTTTGTTGGGTGTGAAGGGCAGATAGTCCTCATTCCCAGCCGTGTTTCCCACACCAGGCTGGACAATGAGCTCGAGCCGATCTGCCAACAGTAGCAGGGCTTTGATTTTACAAGGCTGTGGATCGTATCACATGCATACCTTACATTCTCCCATGCTCTAAAACACTGAAACTGATTCACTTGGACACAGACATGTTCAATCAAACTAATTTATGGAGACAGATGCTTTTCACACTATCTTAGACATTCACATAAAAATTCTCTAATGAACTTTGTGACTGCCAATGCCAACTACCATAGCATAATGTAGGAACACTGTACCCCAATAGTTTAATTCCAAAATTCTGTGAAATACTGTGTTAACTTTTGAGTCTTGGAGCATGTCTCAATTTCTTTAACTTCAACTGCTGCCAATTAAAAATATAAACATTCTTATATAAAAACTGCTGTTGTCTACTGTACTGTTTTGGTTTCTGTCTTTGTATATTCAATGAGAGATCAGTATGTGAAATAATCACACTGTACTTGTATATAAAGTACTTTTCTCTACATTACTCTTTTCCAGTTCAGAAATGCATCCATAAAATATCATATAAACACCTTAAAACTCTTAAAAGTAATGTGACTTGTTATAATGACACTGCAGATTTTTTCTAGTAAGCAGCACATAAAAACGCACAAATATTTAGCATTAAATTACACAGTGTGCGCAATCGCTTTCCAAGAGCAGTGCAGTGACAGTTTCAGTGGTGTGTCTTGTGCTGCGCTATCTGAAACCAGCAGCCAGACGCTCCCATAATTCATATTCTGAAGTGCCAGGCCAACACTACAATAAAAACACTCCAAAGGCTCTGGCTGAAGAAAAACTCACTACACTCCTCTTTCTGTTATTACTCCATTTCATGACAGGCCTCCAGATCTAACAGTCATTGGATCAACTTGCTATCTTTTGCTCATTCTTTTGACACAGAGAAAAAATATTGTATATAGTTTACTTACCAACTATTAAAAAAAAGATTGATTTTGATATAGATTTTTTGACAGTAAAGACGTAATGTTACAACCCTGAAAAAAAAAAACTAAATTGTGGTTTTCAGACTTCACTAAGCAACACAGACATATTAGAATGTGATAATAACAAGAAAGCCTTTTTGAAAATAAGAATGTTTTTTCAAAAACATAAAGAAAAATCTGTATATAACAGTAGTATTTATCTGATCCTTTTCTTAATTTAATTATTGCATAAAATGCAATCTTTAAACAGTATATTTGTTTTAAACTTCCACTAAACTTTCTTTAAACATTATAAATTAGTATGTAAAGCAACAATGGAAAAAAAAATAGTCATGAGGGATTTGCTGTCTTTGCATTTACATTATATATTTTGCATGTAGCCAGTAATTGAGAAATCATACCACAATGTCCAGTTTGCCGATGACGCTGTGGGCTTTGATTACCCAATTCACTGACTTCTCACATTTCAGAAGCAACATTACGTCACGATGGAGCGGGGCGTCACCATCCAGCGGCCTTAAATCCACAATCACATCCACCTGGAATGCACTACTCAGAGAGAAGGAGAGAGAGTGGCAATGGAAGAAAGGCCATAAGAATCTTGGAAAAATGAATCTTCATTTTTAACATGTTTTCTGTGTCTCGCCAATTGATTAAAAATCTGGACCGCTTCCTAGAAAACAAAGCTGGACACATGTGAAACAGACCACATAACGCAATGCTGGGATCCATCATGATGCTTGCATATCTTCAAATCTGTTTTTCATTTTTGAGTCACTATTAGGCAATAGTGAGTGATATTGGCGGGGGCGGAGAGAGTTCTACCCGGCAAAGAGTTTCCCAAAATCAACAATACCCTAGTTCCTGCCTATTTCCAAATAAACTTTACAGAACCGGAGGAAACACAATGACAACCTAAAATGACAAATACAAAGCGACTTGCACGCACATTTACACAAGAAAGCAAACACACCCACCCATGAGCGCCCACATACACACCATGGTATACTAAACACAGAAACACATTTATGCATAGTATGTACTTCTTTTATGTGAAATTGATGTCTGGAAAGGCCTTCAGGTGTCTTTCAACAGCAGATTAAATCATATACGCTACCATTCAAAAGTTAGGGGTTAGTAAGGTTTTTGTTCATGATTTTGAAATATGTCTCTTATGCTCGATCAACTTGCTATCTTTTGCTCATTCTTTTGACACAGAGAAAAAATATTGTATATAGTTTACTTACCAACTATTAAAAAAAAGATTGATTTTGATATAGATTTTTTGACAGTAAAGACGTAATGTTACAACCCTGAAAAAAAAAAACTAAATTGTGGTTTTCAGACTTCACTAAGCAACACAGACATATTAGAATGTGATAATAACAAGAAAGCCTTTTTGAAAATAAGAATGTTTTTTCAAAAACATAAAGAAAAATCTGTATATAACAGTAGTATTTATCTGATCCTTTTCTTAATTTAATTATTGCATAAAATGCAATCTTTAAACAGTATATTTGTTTTAAACTTCCACTAAACTTTCTTTAAACATTATAAATTAGTATGTAAAGCAACAATGGAAAAAAAAATAGTCATGAGGGATTTGCTGTCTTTGCATTTACATTATATATTTTGCATGTAGCCAGTAATTGAGAAATCATACCACAATGTCCAGTTTGCCGATGACGCTGTGGGCTTTGATTACCCAATTCACTGACTTCTCACATTTCAGAAGCAACATTACGTCACGATGGAGCGGGGCGTCACCATCCAGCGGCCTTAAATCCACAATCACATCCACCTGGAATGCACTACTCAGAGAGAAGGAGAGAGAGTGGCAATGGAAGAAAGGCCATAAGAATCTTGGAAAAATGAATCTTCATTTTTAACATGTTTTCTGTGTCTCGCCAATTGATTAAAAATCTGGACCGCTTCCTAGAAAACAAAGCTGGACACATGTGAAACAGACCACATAACGCAATGCTGGGATCCATCATGATGCTTGCATATCTTTAGATCTGTTTTTCATTTTTTGAGTCACTATTAGGCAATAGTGAGTGATATTGGCGGGGGCGGAGAGAGTTCTACCCGGCAAAGAGTTTCCCAAAATCAACAATACCCTAGTTCCTGCCTATTTCCAAATAAACTTTACAGAACCGGAGGAAACACAATGACAACCTAAAATGACAAATACAAAGCGACTTGCACGCACATTTACACAAGAAAGCAAACACACCCACCCATGAGCGCCCACATACACACCATGGTATACTAAACACAGAAACACATTTATGCATAGTATGTACTTCTTTTATGTGAAATTGATGTCTGGAAAGGCCTTCAGGTGTCTTTCAACAGCAGATTAAATCATATACGCTACCATTCAAAAGTTAGGGGTTAGTAAGGTTTTTGTTCATGATTTTGAAAGATGTCTCTTATGCTCAAAATGCAATAAAAACAGTAATATTGTGAAATATTATTACAATTTAAAATAACCCGTTTCTAAAATTTTATTTATTTCTGTGATGGCAAAGCTGAAGTTTTCACCGATTTTTTTTTAAGGTTGCTTTGATGAATAGAAAGTTTACGTTTAATTTTTGGACCAATGCAAACGTTTCCATCACGTTTTCCATCACTCAATTGAATGCATCTTTGCTGAATAAAAGTATTAATTTCTCGCAGACAATAATACTGACCCCACATTTTTGAATGGTAGTGTAAATTAATTGTATTTCTCTGTATTTAATACGAACAAAATGCATATTCTTTGCTCTTCATTTTGTTGTGCAAGCACTAAAAAGCTAAGAAAATAATATGAAAGTGCAAAAGACAGCGATTTTACTTGTGTTTCAAACTGTTGGTGTAATTACAGCTTCTAAGCTTCCAAAATTAGTACAAACTTCTAAGAATAACCTGAACATTATATTCACTTTACTCTGCAGGAGCTGTATTACAGAAACTTCTTAGTTTATTCCTGACATAAGATTTAAGAAGAAGAAAATGTTTGGATATTTTTGTAACACAAAAGGAATGCAGTTCAACGGTCTTCTCCTCACCTGCTGGAGTTTGGTGCCTGGAGCTCAATGATGTGGACCTCCTGGTCGTGATCAGGACCTGAGAGAACACACCCTGTGGATGGCTGGGGCTGGATGTAGCTTGCCAGGTAGTTTAGAGACAGGAATTTGTTATCGATCTTACAGGTCTCGGAGAAGACGGGGTCTGAAACAAATATGAGATACGTTTAGGCTAAGGGCTAGAAATTTTGAGGACCCAGACCCTGTTTGACACATTCACCACATTCACCAACAGTTAGTTACAGTCCTATAATCTTATATTTAGTATAATAGCACTGGAACATTTCACTGTTTGTATCACTTGGCTTGTCTGTATTTGCTGTGTGCCAGACCACAGCACAAGAGCAGGAATGGAAACAGAGTGAAGTTTGTGGGTTTTTTCATAGTGGACAAACTATTTTCAGTGACCACTTGTGATGCCCATACCTTAAAAGCAGGTTGGCCAAATGCCGATATGATTGATCCGATATCACCGATAACACTTTTTTGGTTTGAGGAGCGATAAATTATAAAAAATATACTGTGAAATATTATTACAATTTAAACAGTTTTCTAACAGTTTGTAAAATGTAAATAGTTTTCTATTTTATTATTAATGTATTAATAAAAATATGTAATATATTCTTATACTTAATTTGAAAATATTTTGCTCAATATTTTAAGTTGAAAACAGTTGTGCTGTTTTTTTATTTAAGAAAAAGGATTTAAAAAATCCAAAAGAACAGCATTTATTTTAAATAGAAAATACATTTTTTTTTAAAACTGTTCTCACAGTCACTTTTAATCAATTTAATGCATCCTTTCTGAATAAAAGTATTAATTTCTTTCAAACATACAAACAAATAAATAAATTCAAATCTTACTGATTCAAAACTTTTGATCCAAAAATGGATTGTACATAGACATGCTAAAATGAATAATAACAACAACAGTTGTGCTGTTTTTTTATTTAAGAAAAAGGATTTAAAAAATCCAAAAGAACAGCATTTATTTTAAATAGAAAATACATTTTTTTTTTAAACTGTTCTCACAGTCACTTTTAATCAATTCAATGCATCCTTTCTGAATAAAAGTATTAATTTCTTTCAAACATACAAACAAATAAATAAATTCAAATCTTACTGATTCAAAACTTTTGATCCAAAAATGGATTGTACATAGACATGCTAAAATGAATAATAACAACAATAATAATAATAATAATAATTTTTTCAACATTTAATTAAAACAACAATGACGATATTCTCACAAAATGGCCAAATATTGGCAGATTAATCCCTTATAAATTCTTATTAATCAGTGAAAACACAGTACTCTGACTGACTTGTCCTGTTGCAGAAAAAAAAAATTGTTCTGTGCAAAAAATTAAATATTAAAAAAAAAAAAAAAAAAATTCCCAAAAAATAAAAAAAAAAAAAAAAAAAAAAAAAAAAATCCTCTCGGCTCTTGAACACTGTTTTCTTTGCTCCTCCACAAAAGAGATAATGGCTCTTCTCTTTGCCCCAGAGAAACAGAAGACAGATGCTTCCTTATTTGGCCATTATGCTTTTGGACAAAGCGCAAGGGTGACGAGTGTGAACTCATCATGAAAAGGTTGGCATCTCATACTCTCAGCTCTTCCTGGCTCTTTGAGGTACTGGGGGAAAGAGGGTTGCCTGTTCTCTGCAGCAAACAGATCGGAAGCATGTCCGCTCTCATGCAGAGCTACAAAGGGTAGAGATAGAGTAGAAGGCCAGAACTCTCCTGTAGAGGTAAACACAGACTTTTGAGTCGCTGCCAAACCACAAACTCAAAATGACACGTGGCCAAATGTTTTACGGGCCTGACCGAAACAGGCTCAGAGACTGGAAAAGTGTACTTTGAACGATGCAGTCATTACTTTCTTCTAGTACTTGAAACTTATGTTCTTTTACGGACTGAAAAATGAGCAGCAGCAGTTTAACCGGGCAACCTGACTGCAGAGAGATGCTGAAGTCAGATGTGTTGCTGGTTTGGTCTTAGAACTCAGCAGGGGAAACACGATGGAGCCCTGGGTGAAACACACAGCCGGATCTGTCCTTTTTTTCTTTCTTCAAACGAGTCCTGCGGCTCCCTGCGCTAATGGCGCGTATTTTGCAAGTATCTGTTTCTACTTTCTCACTTTCATGCCCTCAACAAGTAAACAACAACATCTATTTGAATGTGGCAGCCATGTCTGACTCAAACATCATATCAAAGTCCAACAGTCGGTTTCAAGTTAAATTCCCCCAAACCATTTCCTTTGAGAATAAGCCAATTTCCCCCCTACGGCTCATGTCATCGGGCAGATGGCTAAGGTACTTTGCCATCTTGCAGGGCTTCCTGGCACTGCTATAAATTTGGACTTTCTGTTTTGGGCTCTATTTTCTTTTATGCTTGTTCTATACCTTCCCTGCCAAACTTTCCCTTTACACATTCCCTTTTTCCTCTCAGTCTGCTATTCTTCCTCATCCTTCTCTTTTTAAAAGGGCTGTTGTGAAAGGCTTCAGGTTTGGCAAAGGGCCTGTACGCACAAGCTGGCGGTTAAGAGTTTTCGCCTGAAACTCTTCCCGTATGTTTACTTGGTCTTTCCATCAATTCTCCATCACTTGGTTGCTTATGAGTCTGACAGAAAAGAAGGGAGTGACACGCAAGCAAATCAACTGATACAAATGAGAGGCAGAGAGAAAACCTGACAGTTAAAAAGCCCACAGATTTTGCCATGTTGTTTTTAAATGAAACTGAATGTTGCCCAGTGGAAATCAGAATGACTTGAGGTGGCTTCATTGGTATTTGTGTTATTACCCATGGGTTTGGTAACTAAACACAGTCAATAGGCACCATTGAGAGTGAATTAGCATGTGCTGGGCCATGATTGAAGTTCAAAGGCAGCTAAAAACAAATAATTTTCTTAATCAGTATTTGATTTGAAGTAATCAGCTTGATTTTCAAATAAAAACATCCTTAAAGCAAAATAAATGTACTAATTACTTTAGAAATGTTATTGTTTACCAAGTGGAAAACTGTCTTTGGCACAACAAACATTTATTAAAGAGCAAATAAATATTTTATATTAGTGCTGTCAAATGATTAATCGCGATTAATCACATCCAAAATAAAAGTTTTTGTTCACATAATATATGTATGTGTACTGTGTATTATATATATATTATATATTATATATATGTACATATATAAATACACACACACATACAGTATATATTTTGAAAATATTTACATGTATGTTTATATTATATATAAATATTTTTAATATATAAACAGCACTTTTTTCTTAAATATATACATGCATGTGTGTGTATTTATATATACATAAATATAAACAGTACACTCATATATGTTATATAAACAAAACCTTTTATTTTGGATGTGATTAATCATAATTAATCGTTTGACAGCACTATTCTATATATAAAAATATCTTATTTTATATTATATAATCATTAAATATATATATATATATATATATTTTAGATATTTATATATCTAATAGAATAAAACAATATATATAACCATAATGTTCTGAACAAATTAAATTAAGTTTATTTTTACATTTTGAATTACATTTATTTTTCTTAATTATTATTGTTTTTAAATAAATATAAGAAATTTGGTGTGATAAGAAAAACATTTCAAGTTATAGTCACTGTAAAGTCTTACTATATTTAGCTTCAATTATTTGCATTTAAGCTTTTTTTTTTTTTTTTTACAAAAAAGACCAAAATACTGATTTGAAACTTTGTCATGAAAGTATATTAATAATAATTATAAAAACGTTTTGAGCAACACGTACCTAAAAAGGGAATTCTAAAATGCTTTAGATATAAATATAATTTACATACCCTCTCCAACCTTGATGTAAACGTCGTGGGCCATCTTGAGCTCGCTAAAAGAGGTAACTGCACGATAGCGTTGATGAGCCCAAGAAAGCAGGTGCTCATTGCCATGAGGAAGACTTTCCACCTTCACCTCACATGACTCAGAGAAATTTCCTGCCTCAAAGTGCACTTCAGATCCCTCTGCAACCTAAGAATTCAACAAAAAAAAGCCGTTAACATTTTCTACAACAGAGTTGTTAAATTCTTGATTCTGATTGGTTGATTGATACATTTTCAATAACTAAACAGCTATGTAGTAGTTCCAGGTTTAATAACTGCCAGTTCCATATTACTTTGACACAGTAGCTTCTGAATTAGTAATGGAAATGTTTTACAATTGTATTACAAAGAGAAATTGTCAGATTTTTGCTGCCTGAGCCACCCTAGCGTACAATACAAACCCCTTTTGTTAACTTGTGGAGTGTTTTTTCCCCTTGACAGTTCAAGAGACAAAGATCTCTCTGTTGATGAAGACAGGCCCATAAAACTCAAAGCTGTATTGATATGCACATCCCATTTTACAGCGAGAAGGTCTGAAGTAATAAAATTTAAGGGCAAAACTATAGATTATGAGAGGAAAGGAAAAAGAGTATCAAAACAGGCCTTTCCAAAATGAAACCTTCCACACGATCTTTGCCAAAACACATCTTTAACACTCTGCCCTGATAGTTTTTTGAAACCTTCTTTGAATGTGTGCTCCATATTTTCACACACGGTCCTCTTACACAATAAGGTGTCTGCTTTCCAGTGTTTATATAACACACTGCTGTGCATAATAGGAGACGGGCAGGAGGTTCTTTTGGATGGACGGCACACGGCTGAGATTAGCCTTATAGACAACATATGTACACACTTTCATACATGCACACCATCAAAGTCAGACTTTAAGGGGATCAAATACTTCATGTCAAGCAGTATGCAGCATTTAGACTCTGCAAATGTGCACAGAATACTACATTTGCCAAAATATGCAGTATACACATTGATAACGCTGCACAAAACACTATCGCACAATGCACTCTTTCATTTCCATTTTCCTTTTTTATATTCATTCAATCCTATTCATTAGTTAAAGTATACTGGTATTACATTCCAAATATGAGCTTAATGTGTAGCAGACAGTGATTGTTTACATGCAGACCTTTTGCCCATGTGAATACATTAAATCTGACTGCAGATTGCAAACATACTGTTTATATATACAGAGATGTGCATCACATGTATTACAAAAAACATTTTTGTGCATGCGAAGAGCAGCATTTATGCTGGGAAATGCAAGCAGCTGGCTAAAGAAGTTAGTCATGAGAAAACCAATAGTAACTTTTCAAGAATTTGAACTCTCAAAATGATTTTTTCCATCAATAACTAGACATGGAAAAAAGTATGTAGCAAAGATTGGTGGGAGAGAGACGTCCTGCTGTAATTTAGAGTTTGAGAATTATAGGATAAGGAGTTCAATATAGGAATTCATTTTTGTGCTATGTGACTTTAATAAAGAAAGCACAGCCCCTGTAGAAAATGCAATAATGTTGAATTTTGATATGTATAAAAACACTGCACTATGTATGTATGCAAGTGTTATAAATAAGGTGAAAACAGTTAAATTTAAAGGTTTACATGACAATTATTCATCAATCATTTAAAATATGCACCTTCCAAATATGCATTTTCTATGGAAGCCCATTTCCAACACTGAATAAAAAATTTAAAAAACTCGAGATAAAAACTCGCAATTCTGACTTTTTTTCTCGCAATTGCGAGTTTATATCTTGTGGTAATATCTTTTTTTCTCGCAATTCTGATATAAACTCACAATTGCGAGTTAAAGTCCAATTTTGAGGGGGGAAAAAAGACTGATATGTTCTCAGAATTGCGAGTTTATATCTCACAATTCTGAGAAAAAAAGTCCGAATTGCGAGAGAAACAGTCAGAATTGTGAGTTTATATCTCGCAGTTCTGACTCTATTTCTCAGAATTGCGACTTTATGTCTCGCAATTGCGAGTTTATATCACGCAATTCTGACTTAATTTCTCAGAATTGCGCGTTTATAAAAAAGTCCGAATTGCGAGAGAAACAGTCAGAATTGTGAGTTTATATCTCGCAGTTCTGACTCTATTTCTCAGAATTGCGACTTTATGTCTCGCAATTGCGAGTTTATATCACGCAATTCTGACTTAATTTCTCAGAATTGCGCGTTTATATCTCTCAATTATGACTTTTTAACTCGCAATTGTGAGTTTATATCTCACAATTCTGAGAAAAAAAGTCAGAATTGTGAGATAAAAAGTCGCAATTACCTCTTTTATTTTTTATTCAGTGGCGGAAACGGGCTTCCATAATTTTCTATGCATTACATTAAAATTTTCATTTTCGACAGAGATCAGTTTACTTTTTTAACTGTGTTTTCATTTTAGTACTTTTCGTTGTATTTGAGCTATCATTTTGATTACAAAAAGATCATTATTCTACATGTAAACATAGTTAGACAGAGAGCAAGCGAGAGCAGTGTTAGTGTAGTAGTGTACAGGAAGAATAACACAGCATGTACACTTCACAGCTGTCATAGCAGCTCACAACTGAGGAGTCCTGTCAGCATAAGCACTGCTGTGTACTTGCGCCAGCTAACCTTTCATCCAGAATACTCTAACTATGTGTTACGTGCTTGATTTCCTTCAAATGCTATGTTTAAAGAATGAGATGCAAATTATAGCAATTACAGAGAGTTTAATGAGAGCAAAAGATCAAAGTAGGTAAAAAGGTAAGAGGTAGGTAAGAAAAGGTGTGTGTTTGTTTAATTTAATAGTTGTGCATATGCTCTTGTAAATGTATGAAGCATTGTGTTGTGAGTTTCTCTGCATGTCGTCTTGCTTGACTAGGGCGGGCTTTGCTCTGAAAGTCCTCCCTTTTGGCTCCAAATGGACCTTGGGTCCACATGCTCCATTTCAGAGAGATAAACATTCACATATGTTGAAAAACTCGCCGTACAGCTCCACACAGCCAAGCACACGGTCTAGACAGCCCAGACTCTTTACATTTCCATGCTTTTTCCACTCATTTCTCTCTCTCATTCTCCCAAAGGTGTTCTTTCTGTGCTCAGCCGGCCCCGTGCTGGCAAACCCAATTAAACCATTACATCACACCACAGCGCTGATGGACCCCATACGAGCTGCGCAGAGAGCCAGACAGCCAATCTGAACTACAGCCAGGGTCCTGTGTACTATTGTGCAGTGACAGACAGAAGAGGTGTAGTAATGGAGAGGGAGAGATAAAGAGAGGTATATGACATGCTGAAGGAGCTGAGATCTGTCCCGGTGCACGACCCAGTACCAGGATGAACATCTGCTCAACCTCTGGACGGCTCTCCAGGCAAACACCCAATCCTTGCCAGCAGTGATAAATTTCAAAAAGAAAAAGAAAAAAGCATGAGAAAGGCATAGAGGCCGTCGAAGAATTTAGGACTGAGGTTGAAGGTTATTTTTAGGGTTCCTCTGTACTGTAGACAGTGTGTTGAACTGTGCAGTTTTCCTGTTAAAGGAATATTTAGGGTTCAATACGTTAAGTTCAGTCAATAGCATTTGTGGCCTAATGATGATTATAATAAAACAACATAATAATAATTTCAACACATTATTTGTTTATTATTAGAATTTTATTTATATATTTATTTATTTTAAATAATAATTTTTGTTTTATTTTTAGAATTAGATTTTTAGATATTTTTATTACTTTAACATTTAGTTTTTAAATACATTTAATACATTTTAAAAAGTTATTTATTCATGTGATGGCAAAGCTGAATTTTCATGCTCAAGAAAAAGGTATTATTTTACTTATTATGTTCTGCTTTTTTATTATTTTATTCATTTATCTTTTTTTTTGGAAACCCTGAATTTTTCAAGATTTTTTGATTAATAGAAAGTTCAAAGAACAGCATTTATTTGAATAAATGCTTTTATATGTCTTATATATATGTATTTTGATCAATTTAACGCATTAATGCAATGATTAAATAGTTAATTAATTAATTAATTTATTTATTTATTTTTTAAGCCTATTGACCCTAAACTTTACACAGAAAAAGAAAAAAAAAAATCACACTAATGTCATCATGTTAACATGCATATTGTTTAAATTTTGTGGCTATACTACTGAAACAGTGAATATTATGTTTTACTTTTTTAGGCACATTTGCTTCAGTTGAAAGTGTCTCAGATCTGTTTGCATTGTTATTTATTTATTCATTCATTTTCATAGAGGGACAATCGAAAATATTTTTTTGCGATAAACACTAGCTACAGTACAAATGCTGTTGATTTAATTTACTTGAAAAATGCCTTGAAAGGGATGACTAAACTCTGCAGGAAAGTAGATCTCGCGAGCCAGATTTGAGGATCACTGGTTTAAATACTACCTGAGAAGGACGCACAATGTACATTTTGAAAGAAATATCTGTAGTAATAATGACTTCAGAGTGAGAGGTAAGTAAAAGCACAGGTAACTGTGAGATTATGTACATAGACTTTTGTAAACAAAACTAAAACAGAGAGCAATTAAAAGGCAGGCTTATTTTCAACAGTGTGTCTCATGAGTGATGTGGTAAGCGTCAGTAAAGTGAGGTTAGTGTGTGCTGAAAGTTGCAGCCACCTTTATTGAGCATAATTAGTAGTGTGTGTTAACAGCAGAATCTCTCCGTGGGAGGCAGTTACCTCAGACTGTAAACCCTCATCCCAATCCCAAAAGTCAATTCTTATTTCTGTATATTTATGAAACAGGGTCCAGGGTAAATAAGAAAAAAACATAATTAGATTATGGTTATATTTGTTATTCCTATAAGCCTTTTTCATCAGAGCATCTCAAAGGTAACTTCTGCTTTTAATTGAAATAATAAAATTATTAAATAAAATATTAATTTATATAAAACATTACAATACAGATTTAAACTTTCCGTTTTTGCATATTAGCAAAGCATACAAAATATATTAATTTAAAAATATTTTAAAAATTAATACATTAAATGTTCTCAGGAGTGATTATGCAGAAAGTTCTTAAATGGAGATGGTTTGGGTGTTTACAATTTACAAACTGTTAACATGGTCCCTTACTTAGAAATCAAAATTAAAATCAAAAACATCTAAATTAAATGGTAA